GTGGCTTGGCGTGGCGCGTTGGCTGCTACCAGTCGCGGAATGCGACTGAGAGTAAGTAACGGCCACAGCTACTAGCTCCCGGATGGGTGACCATTCGGGATCATAGTGGTTAAAAACCTTGCCACACATACACGTGTTTGCTATCAACCGTAACAATCATAAAAATACAACCTACCGTACCAACCTACAACGTAACCCTTACAAACAGCTAATGGCCCTAGTTGCCGGGCTTAAGTTCAATAAAAAAAAAAAAAAAAAAAATTCATTTTATTTAATTTATTACTCCTAAATCATTGCAAATTAGATTTAAAACATTTTTAATATAATAAATTATAATCTCACCAACTAAATTTGAGTTGAAAGTTTTAAGTGGGTAAATAAATTTATTATAGAGTCGAAGTGCTATTTTTATTATTTTCATGTTGGTAAAAAAAATATATTTTTATAAATTAGAAACAATATGGTTTGAATTATTTTTATTCATATAACGATGATTTTTAGTTTTCATCTGCAATTCACCTTGTGAGAATTTCTATTTTCCCATAAATATAGAACATATGAATCTAAATTAAAATAAATTGATATATATTTACTATTTAACGCAATGCTTTAATGTTATTTTAATTTAGAATACCTAACAATGGTCAAAGTACATCGACAATGTCCAGTGCGGGAGGCAAGTCCAAGTCCAAGCAAGGCAAGTCTGTCCGGTTGAATATCAACGCCAGGGAGAGGAGAAGGATGCATGACTTGAACGATGCGCTAGATGAACTCAGAAGCGTCATACCATATGCTCACTCACCGTCCGTACGGAAATTGTCGAAAATCGCTACACTTTTACTGGCGAAAAATTATATTTTAATGCAAGCAAATGCTCTAGAAGAATTAAGAAGACTGATCACTTACATACAGGTATATCTGAATATCTGACAATAATATTATTGTAAATACGAAATGATACACTTGTGTGTCATTATTAACTACACTAGTACAACGCTTCTTATCACATAGCGTTTTGTGTTAAGTTGCATATGTTTTCTTATTTGTGGACTTTTTCTAATTTCTAGGCTCAAGGAACAATGACAATGCCACCTGGTTTTGATTTACAAGCTTCGATGTATCCCATTAAACCTTCATTGGCTTCGCCCAACGCTTCTCCAGATTCTCCACAGTCTTAACATGTTATACGAATGATTCTTTTATGACAAAATATTTAAAAATATATATAATAGAAAATAAATATGTAAACGATATTAATGAGAGGATTACAGATTCTTCTAAGCGAATATCACGTCACCGAGTTTTATAATGCGATTTTTATAAATTATTATAAATATTACTTATATATTTATATAAATATAAATTACACACACAATAATTATATAATATATAATATTATCATAGTTGTTATAAATATAAATCAATATTATATTTTTGACTTGTCTGTATATAAAGTAGACGGACGTTTGAAAAACATAATATTTTATACATGAATGCACATCTTTGTAACATAATGTACTTACAATAAGCATAATGATTTTGTGTTCAAATATTCAGACTAAGTATTATTAGCCTCTTTTCAATGTAAAACTTTAACGTAGAATACCTTTATATCTTACACTATAAACACTATAATTTAAAATTAATAATTGCTTGTATTTTCTATACATACAATGGCAAGTACAACTAAATTATTGTAAATAATGATTGATGGCTTAAGTTAAAAATATATTTTATTTTAATTAGCATATAGTTTATACTTTATAATATGTATTAATTTAGCTATACGTACTGCCATGCATACGATAAACTATTATTTAGTTTATAGATAGGAAAATCTAGTCATTTAAAACTTAATATTATGATGTATTAATGCTATAATTTATTATTTGAAATTTCCATAACTATATTGATAAAATTTTAATACAATTATTGACTAGAAAAAATGTATTTTTTAATCTTTATCATATCTAATTCTTACACATTATATTATTTTATCAATTATTTTAAACAATAAAAATACATTTGTCTCATGTTGGAGTTATACGCGGTTTTGTTACTTTTTGATGATACTATACGTCCATATATTGTTTGTGAAATTGTTGAAAAAAAAAACTACTTAGTTTTAGTTACGGCTGAAAAACCAAATAAATATATAAAACAAAAAACGATATATTTTTTAGTGTCATAAAGTTTTTATTTGTTTGATGTGATTGATATAAAAAAATTATTTCAATTTTAAAAACATAAAAATCATAAATTGTAAAAGAGTAACAAGATTTTTGTAAAAATTCAAAACTCAGATAATATTCTCTTTTTATTATGTAGAAACTTGGTAATTTTAAACTGTAGCTTGAGTGGTGTTTTTTTTTTTTTTTTTTAACGTTAAATCGTTTTCTATATAATATCGTAATTATTCAACAACCAACAATTCTACTAATATTTCACTTTTAGGTTGTTTTAAACTTTTAAATTAATATTTAAATATATTCAAGATTTAAAATTTAATATTTTAACTTCCTTAAAATGTTATTAACATTTTCTAAATCAAACCTTTTAAAAAATGAGTGTGTGTATTTCTAAGAAACTCTTGAACCAAATATAAAATTACAATAAAAACAATTTCATATTGTTAGCATTTAATACTAAAAATACATCTTAATAGATTTACAATTTATTAGTTATTTATTATTAGGTACTAACTACTGGTCGATATTTTATGTACATTTAGTGGGTAATATTTAAATAGTGTTTTATTATTGTGTATTGTTTATAAATTATACATAAACTAATATTTTTAATAGACACTTTTTAAATACATATAAATATTTTTATTTTTATAGGAACTTAATGTTTAATAATATGTATAATAATTAAAAAATTTTTATTTTTCATATATAAATACATACACCTAAGACATTTTAGATTATTATCATTTACTTTATTTATAATTGAAAATTCTAAGACAAAAAAATACAAAATAAATAAAATAATCTATTATTTATAATATATAATGCTTAGTACTTATGGTACTTAAAAATGTTGAATTAAAATTAACTTATTACTTACTTAATTGAGATAAATATGCTGTTAAAATTTTAATGCGATTTATTAATTATACTATATTTGTTAACAACTAATAATTTACTCACAAAAAATACAATTTTATTGCTACCATAAGTAAATTATTTATAAAAAATTAAACATCACTGGGTATACAGACATGATATATTTAAAAAAAAAAAAATACATAAAATGCAAAGTATATATTATTTACTAATATTTAATAAACGCCATATTATTTATATTATTCATTAATACAATGATTTAATGAAGTTTAACACTTTATCACATAAAATGTTCATTAAGTGTCTAAACAATTAACAAATGTTAATACAATCAACATATAATACGATTAAGCATGTTGCTGTTGACTATCTTTTAAGCAGAAAAATATAGATTAACTGATATAAAGTTATTTTGATGATTTAAAGCTATGCAATAAGTGTTAACATTTAAATATAGCAAACTTATCGTGAATCAAAAATATATACTGTTGTTATGACTCGGAAACGTCATAATATCTATGTGGCTATAACTATTACTATTGAGTATATATAGTATATATACTTAATGCTATTATACCTACAGTTTTTACTCTTTTATAATTTAATAAAACGATGACAATATTTATTAGACATAGATGTCTTTTAATTAATTTTAAAAATATATTATAATGTGTCGAATATATTTTTCAAGGTAAAAAATGAAGTAACTATTTACAATTTTAAGTATGCAGTACGAAGTATTTTTTGATAATTAAAACTTTTTGTGACTAAAATAAATGTTATTATTTAAAGATTAAAAAATATTTATAAGTAAAATTAATTTAAATTAAGATAATTCATCAGATAAATTATCTAATTAGTTATGAAATAAATTAAGACATAATGTAGAAGAATTAAAATTAAATCAAAGTGAACAGGTGAATTACAACACTTATTATTACTATTTATTTATTAGTTATTACTCATAAGATGATATAAAATATTTTGACATTTAGGTTAAAAGTAATAATACTCATTATACATCTTAACCTTACTTTACTAATTATTATGTATTTATTTACATGTGTTTTACCCATTTTGAAGACAGTATATTCATATTATAATGTTATTAGATAATAATTAAATATTATTTTATTAAATGTATTTCTGTTGAATATGATACCAATACAAAAATGCGTTTGTATCGGGTAGTTTTTATGACTGCATTTCCGCATTAATAATAAATTGTAGAAACTAACAAAATTATTTTTATTTTATTCACGAAATAATTACAAAAAAATTTTAAAATAAATAATTGTAGACAATTGCAAATTTCAATAAATATATTTTATAGGTAATAGCATTTTATGAAATACATACGTAGTATAATTTTCAAAATATTAAATTCTCAAGTTTTTTAAAAATGCTAAAACTGTTTTATTTTTAGTTTTAAAACAATGAAATACGTTTGGGTTTAGGCAGAATTATTTTGTTTGCAAAAAATTGGTCTTGAAATTATAAACTAAAAATATTCTCTTTATGTTATTTACCTAAATACATTCTGAATATAAAAACACAATATTGCCAAATTATATATTATCTGGTAGTTGATATATGATATAAATTAATAAATATTATTGTTTATCTTTAAACTGTACAAACGATCGGTTTTAAATTAAAAATTTACATCAGCTGTAACATTAAATTTAAACATATTAAAACACAAGTCCTAATCCCATCTAATTTGAACGATTTTAATACTAAAATAAGTTTCAAAAAAAATAATAAAATATAATGTTTAAAAAATAATAATTTTGTTTACAACTCCATACATTTTTTCCGCTCATCAAGTACCATAATATACGTTTTTCTTGGTGATATATAACTTTAAAAATAATATTGAATGTAGTATGTTCAAATAAATAATCTTGACTAGCATAATACTTTATGTAATTCGAATTATATTAAATACTGTTTATAATAATATGCATTATAATATAATATCCATATTTAAGAGAAATAATTTAAATATATTTCACAAGATGTATAATCTTATTAGTCATTTATATTTTGTTAGTAACTTTTTAGTTTTTAAATACTACATAAATACAGAATATTTTAATCACATTATTATTACTAAAATACATTTTGTATAAAATCGATGTTATAGATTTGAAAGTTATTCTTCAGTTTCTCGTTTAGAATTTTACGTTTGAGTTACTTTTGTATTTATGCTTTCATACCACCACAGAGTTACTAATAATTAAAAGCTTAACTATACTCTCCGCATGTTAAGAGCGTGGCCAGTCACCTTAAGTCGAATAAATAGTATTGCCGATTTCGTATATCGAGATACAACGTTAGCCAGCTTATCAATAAAATTGTTAAAATATACGAATACAACCCCTTAAAATCAATGTTTACTATGAAAATATTTTAATATGATTTTTGATATTGTATGTATTATAACCGGAAAGGTATAAGTAGAAAATAAATAAATACTCTTCGTTATAAGATCAATAGAGATTAATATACAATATACAGTGAAACCTTCTTAAATGGACATTTGTTTTAATTTTAATTTTAAAAGTTATGACGATAACGAACTCGTTCGAAAACGAAAAATATTTAAAATATGTATTTATATTTTATACATAAATTCATTCCTTATTTTTAATATTTATTTGAATACGTATTGTTAAAATACTAAATAATAATATTGTAACTTTATTAACCTAGTGAATAATGTTTTTCTTTTACACTTTTTATGAATTTCAATGCTAATCTGAGGTTTAACTGTATACAATTCAAAACAATTGTGTACCTACTGCAAAATCGCATATGTTATAATTTTGATTAGGTATGGTTATATTTATTCACCTTTAAAAAGTATTTATGGATTATCGATACATCAGATCAGAATTTTGATTGCACCTTTATGGGCATGTATTTTGATCTGATTAAAAACATATAATTTTATCGGTTTTAATGTGTTTGTACTATGGTAGGCAGCCGTCCGAGTGGCAGGCGCAACAACAATTCATTTTTTTCTTATTTTCGGACTCGATACCGGGTTTCAGTTGCGTGCTCGGGACCGTGGACTGTGCGTTGCCCCGATAACGACAAGTACGGTCCCGTGTCACCGGAATAGATTCAACTACGGGCAGATGAACTTTGGGGAGAATAACGGCGATCGGACGTTTGACCGGCGAACAGACAGAAGTTGGTTTATCAGCCGACGGACAGATGGAGGTCGGACGTTCGACCGGTGGACAAACAGAGATTGGTTTATCGGCCGGCGGACAAATAGAAGTCGGACGCTCGACTGGGGGACAGGTAGAAGTCGGGAGGTTGGTCGGCGGACTGACGGTAGTCTGGACTTCCGGATCGGTCTGCTGACATGAATCTCGCTTGCACACTTTATCAGTGGTTATCGTACCGATGTTGATGATGATCTGTGACATGAACCGATCTTCCAAAACGCCGGTCGTGGGCTGAATCTGTGGATTCGGCTTAATATCCCGATGATGGTGATGGGGATGCTTCTCTTCGCGGTCGGCGGGAGGTGGTTGTTGACAGATACGATTTACTAGACCTGGTACCGTAACTAACTCTTGCGGGCCACGCTGCTTGTCTTTCGTATCTTTCGATCCAACACGGTTGTCCTGCAGGGGTTTAATCCAGTCTGACACCGGCTGTGATTTTAAGAAATCACATAGACTCATTTCAGAGCTTTTAGCATGTTTTAACCCATTGTGTGGTTTTGCTACTGTCGGGGAGGCCGGATTTTCTTTGCATTTTTCTATTATCAATCTGCAACAACATCGGGCTGACATGCACTCATCCACATCGTTTTTGCTCATCGTTTCGTTTATGTATTCAACAGTTTTTATAGTTTGAGCCTAATAGCGTTGTAAAATTTCGTTCGATTATCTAGTAAATGGTTCCTTACTAGTAATTTTCTTAATCTTTGAATATTACACGTACATAAGATTGAAAAATTTAATTTATATTTTTCTCGTAATAAAACAACGTTGCTAAGATAATGCCACTCAATAAACATATATTATTAGGCATTATGTGATATTTAAGACTTTCGTAATATATCTCTTTATAAATCGTTTTATGCTTTTGTGATATATTATTATTTATGATGATTTTATTTTTATGATTTAGCAAACATATTTCAGATAATATGGATAGTAATATGTATATTTATTTATCATTGTATTAAAAGGAGAACACAGTACAAACAATTAGTCTTTTTTTTTAATTATCATGAAATCTCAAGTTATTGTAATCAGAACTATTAAAAACGATTTAGCCAAAATCAAATGTTAAACATTATTATTTAAAGAGATAATATTAGAACATTAGGAATAACTACGTGACGTATTTAGACAGGACTCGCCATAATTGTCTATCTTAAATGTGTATAAGTTGATTACATTACAATAATTCGACATCGACCTAAAAATTGTAGTTTTTATTGTCATTTATTTTTTGTGTCATGACAGAACTATCCATCAAAATGTCAAAATGACATTTAGTTATATTTTAAATGATAAAAACACTGAAGAACATATTTTTATTAAGCATATAATCAATCAGAACGACTAGATGATTTAAGTAAAATTACTTTTAGAAGATTTTTAAATATTAATTAAAATAAAAAAAAAAAAAAAAAACATTGACCTAAATAATGTTATAAAGTAAACAAAATAAATATCTTATATTACGGATTTTCGGAACTTATAAGAAATATTTTATTTCATAATAGGTAGATAGTATTTAAACACCCCATAAGATTTAACAAAAACAACAAAATGTTGTAGCATTGATTATTATAAAAATATGAATGATTTCTTAAACAAGATTTTAAAAGTTTTAAGTTGCTTAGATTTTTTATCAATGTATATATCAAAGGTGACAAACATGTGGCTCGCGAGCCACATGTTGCTCTCGTCTTGTCAGATGCGACTCGCGTCTTATTTACAAAATCAAAATATACTTAATATTATTATACATTTTAATTTTTAGGTATTAGCTTATAAATTATATTAACATTTTGGCTCTTGGTATCATTGTATTTATCTATGTGGCTCACGAACCTATTCATGTTGGCCACCGCTGGTATATATATATAAATAAACAATAATGCATTCAAAAAAATTCTAAACTATCTAATACCTAACTATTAGGTATTATATGTAAAATTACCTATTTTAATAGAACAACTAACTGGTTATGTTATCTTTATGTACAACCATTCTATTCATTCATAGGTAATAAAAATATACTATTAATCTACTAATAATTAATTCAAGTTATGGATCAATAAAAAAAAAAAAGTATATAAAGCATGACATTTAAAATTATTATGTTACTAGCGAGTTCCATGATCAATCTAAGCGACCAACATCAAATAATCAGGTGTGTACTAATATATAATTTTAATTTAATTAATATAAATAATTTTAAACTAAACAAAAAGCCATAAATATTATGAAAACTATCATTCTATCATACTTTTATAAAATGCTTGATTCGTGAACACAAATGTTTTTAATTATTTCATATCATGTACCAATTAAGCACAACATAATTAATTTTTATATAATTGACAAAAAAAAAAAATAAATAAATAAATATATTTCGCCATCGGCATAAAATTAATTTAGGCCCATTTAATTTTAAAGTGTACAATGCTATTTCAATTCAACGTAAATTATTACAAGGCTTTTTTTTATTATTTTAAGATTATTATCAACATTTAAGTTAACATAAAATTTAATTTACTTATACAATAAAAACAAATGAAAACTCAAAAAATGTTTTCGTCTAACAACAATTATTTGATACATAGGTATAATTCATATCATAATTTTTTAAATAAAAAACTAAAATAAAATCATGATAACAGTATTAATTA